ATAGCAGTGCCGTAATTTACGTGAAAGCACGTCGCCTTTTGCTAGTCCAGTTATTCTGGTGTAGAAAAAAGATAGCAGCCGACGTTTATGCGTAGACTATCGCGCCCTTAATGGAATAACCATTAAAGATCGGTTTCCATTGCCACGTATAGACGACCAAATTGATCAGCTGGGGGGAAGCAAGTATTTTACGACTCTCGATATGGCAGCGGGGTTTCATCAAATTCCTATGGCTGAAAACTCTATTTCCAAAACAGCTTTTGTCACGCCTGACGGGCATTTTGAATACCTGCGTTCACCATTTGGTCTATCGAATTCCCCTGCAGTATTTCAACGGGCGATTTGTAAAGCTGTGGGTAAGCTCAAAGATACCGATGCACTGGTTTATATGGACGACGTAATCATTCCACCAAAAACCATCCAGACAGGTTTAGAAAAACTCGATCGGGTCCTAGCGTCCCTTACCTCAGCGGGCTTCAGCTTAAACATTAACAAATGCATATTTTTTCAGGAAAAAATAGTTTATCTTGGTCGAGAAATTTCCGAAGATGGTGTAAGGCCCGACTAAGGAAAATTAAAACCTTCATTTAATGCGCCCGATCCAAAAAATGTAAAACAGGTCCGCCAATTTATGGGCCTAGCCGGGTACTTTCGCAAGTACATCCCTGAATTTTAAACATTTAAACTTATCACTGATTGCAACTCGCTAAAATTGACTCTAAAAAAAAGACTTATTGCCCAGAGTCGCGAGGTGGTGGCTCTACTTGCAATCGTTTAACTTTAATATCGAATATCGGAAGGGTAAATATATTCCACACGTCGATTATTTTAGCCGAAACCCACCTCAACCATTTGAAGAAATCGAATGCGTCGCCCCCATGAATGTTCTTACAACTAATAACTGGCTTAAAATTAACCAAAAGCGCGATCCCGAAACTCGCGATATCAAATCAAAATTACTCGAAGGTCAGCTAACCCTCGACTACTTCTGTCAAAACGAAGTTCTATTTGGAAAGATTAACCCGGGCCAAAACCCACCAATTTAGAGGGCTTTCGTTCCAAAGGGAAGTACACTCGGTTTGTTAAAAATTTTTCACGACGAACAGTCGCACGTTGGACCGGATAAGACCTTCGCAAAGCTAAACCATTATTTCTGGTTCCCGCGAATGGCACGTTTCGTCAAAAAGTATTGTGACCACTGCCTTAAATGTATTGTAAATAAGAAACACACTGGGCGCAAACAGGGACTATTACACCCTATCGAAAAGACCCCAATTCCATTTCACACAGTGCATTGCGACTGTGTAGGACCATTGCCTCTAACATCAGAAGGTTACAAACATGTCCTTCTTTTAATAGACGCATTCACGAAATATTTATTTATAATTCCATTAAAAACCCTTTCTGGACCTGAGACTTGTAAAAACCTAAACATTTATTTAAATATTTTTGGGAACACTAAACGGTTGATACGTGATAGGGGAACTAATTTTAGCGACCAACAAGTAAAAGAGTTACTCTCAAAATTAAACATTACCCAACATCTAATTGCCAAAAGTGCCCCACGCGGAAATGGGCAGGTAGAGCGATACGTCTCAACAGTTCTAGACCTGCTCAGAGTAAATGTCAATAATAATAAGTCAGAATGGGCGAGCGTTCTCCCCAAGTTACAACTGACCCTTAATACTGCTATCCAAAAAACCACGGGATTTTCCCCGCTCTATTTGTTAACAGGGCAACTTATGGATACCATGGACAGTCAGAATTTAACAGAGAGTATAAAACCAGTGACGACTACTGATCAAAATTTAATTAATGATCGTAAAACTGCCTACGAACGCTCTATGCGTTGCGGTTTAGAGTCAAAAGACAGATTTGATAAAAGCCGAAAAACAAATAACAGTTTTAAAGTGGGAGACATAGTTTTCCATCCATCTGGAAATTCGCACCTAGCTAAACTAGACCCTAGATACGATGGTCCATTCGAAATCTTACAGTTGTTGCCTAATGACCGAGTAGAAATTAAAAATTTGGCTACCAATCGCAAAAGAATTGTTGCTAATGATATGATGCGGGTATGGCCAGGTGAATTTGAATAAGAAAACATTTAATAACCATTGTTATTTGTATATCCCTTTTTGTACATTCTTTTGTTGGTATTATAAGAATGTTGTATGTTATATTTAGAGACATGAATAATGATTATGATTTACGTTGTTGTTATTATAAAGAATTTGTTAGGCTATAACCGTGTGAGCCTTGATATTACAAAAACCTGACAAAATAAATTAGTGAAAAAAAAGTTTTGGGTTGAAAGACGTGCTCTTTGCATCAAGGTAATGAGACCTTGACTGCTGAAATGACGTGCTCTTTACCTAGCTGGTTAATAAAACCTTGCTACTTGTTGAAAGACGTACTCTTTGCGACAAGGTCATTAGGACTTGTTCGTTGAAATGACGTGCTCTTTGCAATAGTGAGTGATGTATCGTTAAAAGCTGAAAGACGTGCTTTTTGCGTTTAGATCGTGAGGGTCTAAACGTTGAAATGACGTGCTCTTTGCTACATTATATAGTCTAAATGGTGTTTTTGTAACATAAGTCAGGAGGTAAAATTCGAGAACGAATATAGTGTCAGGATTGGCCGTGTGAGCCTTTCGCTGAATCGCTACGCTACGCCAATGAATATGTTTTGCTTACTTCTGGTCTCCGTGAAATTCCGATGTGTTTTTTCAGTCTTGTAACAGATGCTGGAGTGAATACATGTGATACAAGTTATGAAGTGTTTGATTTTCCCTAGGAAAATGATAATTTTCTCACATATATGTTTTACAATCGACTTCTAACAGTCCTGAATTTATTCTTTCACATATTTATACTATAGCTAGTACCTTCTAACAGGCCTACTGAATCAATTATACATACATCCTATTTCATAAAATGTTTTTATATCTCATGTCTTCTAAAGGCGGATTTCCACCAAACGGACAAAACCGCAACTGTGTCGATTTCGATAAAACAAAAACTTTTGTTGCCGAAATAAGAAACATTTTGAAGACTTTGTATCGCAAGTTTGTGTTTTCGTCAACAATGAAAAGTCCCATCGCCAGGTGGAAAGATCGTTTCGGTATTTTGTCTCTGTTTTCGTAAACAGAGTTCGCTATGTGGAAACGGTCGGCGACAACTGTTCACTATTTTGCTTTGGTATGCGATATGCATGTTGTGACTTGTGTAAATTCATCATACATTTTTATTAAGTGTTTAATCTGTGGTAGGTATGAATTTCGACTATCGCCACGAGCCAGAGTATATTTATCAACCCACTTGTTCCTGAACCACGAAAGACTCAACAAAAACTTATGAGGTTTTAGGAAACAGTTTATTTAAGTATTATAAACAATATTTAATGGATATATCAGAAAAAAAATTACAATTTTCCATAAAAACGCCGTCCTTTATGTAGGACGTTAGGAACACATACTACTTCTTCTTTCTTCTTCTTATCTGGTATGAAAATCGACAAAGCATTTCACATGAAGCCCAATGTCGCACTTGATGCACCTTGTAGTGGTTTTAAGATGGCAGTGACGGCATCTGGTCTGTTTATTTTGGGGAATGACATAATGCTGTAATCCGTCAAACCGCGAATCAATATTTTCCATTTGACTTGAACGACCCACTGAGTGGGTAGCATTTTTCTTGTTTGTTTCAAGTAAAAAGGTAGCAATCCTTCTTCGAAACGCTAAATGATCAAGCTGCTGAAGGGGATTCAATATACGGTATACGTATAGTTGCCATGCGTTTTGCACGGCCATGTCGATACAGTGGGTAAATATGCAGAAGTACCACTTTTTACCTCTAATTCCAGTACGGTATAGAGAAATGTTCTGGTCACTCCTATCGACCCCACCCATGTTCTCGTTGTAAAGTCTTATCATAAATGGTTGGGGTACTAGAACTGTTTTTTTTTCTTTTTGGGAGTACCGTTTTACCATGCGAATAGGGTTGACACCAACCACATTTGATGCTAAAGATACTACACTGTTATCATTCCAACATAAGACTGTCAAATTTTTATCAAGATCTGTCTTGTAGTCGTGCGTCCCTCTTGCAGTTTTTTTCATTTCAGCTACCGATTTCAAAGGGTTATTCGTAATTCTATTACTTCTAATTGTACCAGTTCCCCGTATGCCATATGCGGATAGTTGTTCAAGAAGCGGTATTCCCGAAAAGAAATTGTCGAAAAAAATATGGAATTTACAGTCTGGCCACCGGCTCCTTAGGAAATCCACGTAGGTAAGCACTACACCAGCTCCCACACCATGCTCCTTACGTTTTGTTGATACGTGGGTACTCGCCCCCTGATATGGTTCGAACCAGTTTATGTAACCATTTCGTGTACAGCCTACCCAAAGCTTGTAGCCCCATCGTATAGGTTTACCTCTTATAAATTGCTTAGCGCCATGGCGCCCAAAATAAGGCACCATCGCTTCATCAACACTATGGTGTTCTTGGTGCGGTGCAAACTTCAAGAAATTCTTATTCAGGGCTTCAGCGAGTGGCCTAACTTTTGCAAATTTATCATTCTGAGCCAGGTTATTATTATCAACTATGTGAAACACCTTCATAATATAATCAAATCTATCTCTAGAAAGTGCTTCAGATACCAGTTGATTATGCACGTCCTTGTTCTTTTCCCAGAACATTTTTCTTCTGGGGTATGGCACATAACCGCTCAAGATTCAGGATTCCAACGAAGCTTTTCATGTCCGATGTAGTTATAGCTTTATTATTGAAATTTTTCATTGTCGCATATCTGTTTGATTCTTCTGTTAACACGTCGAATATATTATCGTCAAAAAGACTAAAAAAAAAGGAAAACCGGCGAATGTTCTTCATCGTTTTCTACCTCTAATTGTACAAATGACTTAGACGCGGACACATGAGAGTCTTCTCCAGTTGAAGGCCCTAGATGACTTTGGAGGCTTAGACCTAGTAGCCAACCTTGACAACGGAAGATTGTCATCGTCTGAGTCTGAGTCCTCTAATGGTAGTGATATTTCAGCTGGAGCACGAAGCTGTGAGGATGGTAGGTTATCGGGAGACACGGTATCCTCATCTCCAGAATCTTCATCAGTTTCAGCTCCGGTTTCTGGTGGAAGCATCACTATTTCCGCTGAATCATGTGTGGAAAATCGTCTTCCTCCAACATTGCCAAAGCTTCGTGCAATGAAAATCCTCTAAACAAACAAAGGAGAGCGTTAGACTTCAATGACAGAAAAATTCCCGAATATAAGTAACGAATAATCCTGACGTCCTAAATATAGGACGACTTCAAATAACCTCACTTTTTGGCAAACATCCATGCGGTATATTGAATCCTATCACATTAGAAGAAATGTTGGAATACTTACAATACGCAACCCAAGTGAAAGGTCTGTAAAATAAGGTATATTGATAATTTTCGTACCTTGCAAATTTGACTCCATACTCGTTCATTTTCGCACCAAGTTGGACTTAAACCAGGACAACTAGAATAAACCACTGCTTGGTCCGTTATGTCAACACTATAGGATATTCTAGAACAGTTCCACAGATGGCGCAACTGCGCTTCGAGCCAGTGGCGTATACAAAAATTGTTTTATGCGCTGTCCTTCTGATAGGACGTTAGGGATATCTGGGTTAATTTGTTTTATTGTTGTTTATTTCGAAAAAGAATGAGATTTAATTTTCCTGTGTAGAAAATGAGCGAAAAAAAGCAATGGATAGTTGAGGAATGCAGCAATTTAATTGAGCTCTACCGAGATCATCCAAACTTATGGAACGCTTCGCATATAGATTACAAAAACCGAATAAAGAAGTATGATCCTCTGAAGGAAATAGCCCAAAGATTTGGAACGAAGTATGAAGAAATTGAACGAAAAATAAAAAATTTAGTTAGCCAGTATCAACGGGAAAGAAGAAACTACAAAAAATTAAAGAAGTCTGGAGATGGGTACACTTTTAAGGCAAAATGGTTTGGTTATTCTGCAATGTGTTTTTTACACGACAAAATTTTTAAAAAATTAGAAAGAGACTATTAGAACGAACTGAAAAAAAAACATATGTTTTCGCAAAAAACAAGAAATAGGGGAAAACATTATTTATGACAATAGGTTTTACAATACTAAGCATATTTTAATTCCCAGGAAACTTGGCCTATTTCTGATATGAAATATTCGCTAAACTCGTCCCTCACTTCTTTGGCATCATGCGGTGATTTTCTTGCTACATTTTTAAGGGGCAATAATGACTGGATTGATTCCCTATCGGTCCTCCACTGTCCTGGAATGATTGTTCCGGTATAGAAATCCTCCACATCAAATGAACCAGGCGGAGTATACATATCCTTTGCCTGAGCATTACGGCGTAAATAATTATGCAGGAAAACGCATGCTAGGACCACCTTTTCTGCTTTTGAGGGTTCTAGTAGCATAGATTTTCGAAGTACTCGAAAAACAGATGCTAATATCCCTAACACGTTTTCGACTACTCTTCTGGCCCTGCTTAGACGATAGTTAAAAATTCGTTGTCTTGATTCTCGGTCTTGGTGTCCTGCGTATGGTTTCATGATATTCTTTGTCAACGGAAATGCATCGTCTGCTACTAAAACGTACGGCACATTTTTCTCACGTCCCTGAAGCTGTTTAACTTCAGGCAAATTAAGTGCAGATTTATTTAACGCTTTGGCAAATCCAGTGCTTTTGAAACTCCACCATCTGATATGCGGCCTTGGCAGCCGACATAAACATAAGTGAAATTGTAGTTCGCATCAACTATAGCAAATAAAACTATACTGAACGTTCCTTTATAGTTAAAGAACTCAGATCCACTAAATTTTGGCGATTGGATAACAATATGTTTGCCGTCCATACTTCCGATGCACATTGGAAAATTACAAATATCTTGAAAATCTTTAGCCACTTTTACCCATTCTTCGGATGTCTTTGAAGCCTGAAATAAATATATATATATATATAGTGTAATTGTTTGTATATATATATATATAAACCACTACCCAGCAAAGCTTAGCATAATTTAATAACATTAATTAATTATATATTATCACGGTATAAATAGAAAATATTCTGCTGAGCAACCAAAAAAAAACAACTATACAGGGTTTTTCCATTTAAAATATTAAAAACTATGATAATATAATTGTTTTATCTTCCGATTGTCTGCGCCACTCCTTTTTTCACAATAAAAATAATTTTTTTGTTCTCAAGAGTTGCTAAAAAAATGGCCTCGTCTTTTTCTCACCTTCGGCCATTGGTTTTTGATTTTTAAAAATATAATTATTTCTTCACGTCCTGTTATGCATCTTTATGAAGTAGGCAGATGCAAATAATTTTATTGATTTTGAGATATTACAAAAATAATGTTTATTTTGAAAAAGAAGCTGCTTAACTTTATTTAAACTTCTTATTTTCGACATTCTGTGTCTTTTTCAACCAAGTATTAATGTCCTGCTACTGCAGAGTGAACCACCCTGTATATTAATACTAAATTTATTATTTCAGGATAGCAACCCATCAAGCAGTGAAGACAGTGATGACAATGAGATTCAAACGTGTGAATTGACACGTAGTGCCAATGAGAGTATGCATGAATTGGATGCTAATGTTTCAGACGTTCAGATAGAAAACCAGGAACAGGAGATCTGGGAGCAAAACATAGAACAACAAGGTGGTTGACGTTCTGAATTCACCAGAAACTGAACCATTTAAAACACCAAACACAAAAGAGGGCACAAAAAAACGACCATCTAAACAGCATTTATTATCAGCTCTGAAAGCTGCTAAGAAGAGTTCGAAACTAGTAGATACTGTTAATACGAGTACTTCTGCTAAAGAAGCCTTTGAAATGATGAAATCCGTGTATCAGAAAACACAGACAACCGAAACACGTGACAAATACTCAATATTAGGTGAACTAGTAGGACATACAATACGTAACTTGAAAACAGATTTTGCAAAGGCTACAGTTGAACACCAAATACATAATATTTTATACGATGCCCAAATTGGAAAATATGACTTTCCTCAACATTCTTCTCTTACACGTTATTGTTCATATACTTCACCTTCTGATAATAGTGTCCCGTCAGTGTCGGCGTCTCCTCGTTCTGAAGAAACTCATACTTATGAAACTAATGATGGCTTAAGCTGGGCAATAGCAAGCTCATTTGGTACAAACAATAAATAAATGAAGCTGCGATAATATTTACTCATGTGAAAGATGATATATATTTAGTTTATGTAAACATTTAAAAATAAAGATTTTTGTATTACATTTGTACTTACATTAACATATTCCTGTAGAACCTCACAAAGATCATCACATACTTCCGGCACAATTCGTGATATTGAAGAACTAGAGACTTTAAACATATACATTAAACTTTTAAAACTATTACCAGTAGCTAAAAATCTTAAGGTTATTGCCAATCGATCTTTCACAGATATAGCATCTCGGTAATTTGTATTCTGTTTGCAAATTTTTGGTCCCAGTAGATTTAACAAGTTCTCAAATTCGTGATTGGACATTCTTACAAAATTATAAAATGACGATCTCAGTTCTCCACTTATTCCTATGTCATCATCTACCAAATCTGCCATAATTTTGTCCGTTCCATAATCTAGTCGACTTCTTAAGAATGATCTCATCCAATATCTTGGTCTTCTTCGCTTTCGCTTCTTTTGCTCAAAAGATTCGATTATAAAAAAACCACACGCCATAATAATAACATCGTCTAGAGAAGGCATGATGGAAACTGTTCGTGTAGTGGAAACGAAAGAAAACACGCGAAAGACTAGCTTTTTTGTTTGTTTGGTGGAATTCGAGTTTCGAGTTTGTTTTCGAAACTACAACAAGATTACTGTTTCTGTTTTTGAAACTGAAACTATATATTTGCAAGCGAGTCCGTTTGGTGGAAATCCGCCTCAACAGACCTACTTCGTTAACTCATTGTATACATCTTTTTTTCAACCTTCTAACAGGTCTATTAATTCATCAGTACTGTTAACTTCTGAATCACTTTCGTCCGAATCACTAATACCTTTCACGTAAGGTCTTAACTGTTCAGCTGCAACTACTGCTTTATATTTTCTGTAACCTTTAAGACCTTTTAAAGCCGTAATTTCATATCTGTCATTCCCTAATGTTTTATTTATTGCATACGGGCCACCAAATTTAATATTTGTTTTTCTGCTTACATCTTTATCACTTTTAGTTGGCCCAGACCATAGCACAAGATCATGTATTTGAGCCGGCTTTCTTTTGGCATCAAAGTATTTTTTCATTCGACTTCTTTGTTTTTCCGAATTATCCCTGTTTATGGTTTTCAGATCTATTGATGTCAGATACAGTATCCTCACCAAGGTTTCCTAGAATATTACGATCAAAGCCAAACATAAGCTTATGAGGAGTAAATCCCGAACTACTGTTTATTGTGTTGTTTATGCCCAACACAACTTGCGGTAGTTTTTGGTATCACTCAATTTCATCTTGAATACTTGTATTCAATGCATCTAAAAGAGTACGATTGTAACGCTCTACTTGTCCGTTAGACCTTGGTGACGATACTGTATTTAAAACATGCTTAATTATGTGACTCATTATGAATTCCCTGAAACGTTTTGATTTGAAAGCTTTGCCGCAATCAGACATTAATCTTTTAGGAACCGCAAACATGCTAAATAAGTCTCTTAATGCGTAAATTACTTAATCGGCATTTGTTGTTTTCGTCGGGCGAGCAAATAAATATTTTGCAAATGAATCGACTATTGCAAAAATGTAAGAGAATCCGGAAGTTTTACAAAATGGTCCCAAATGATCTATGTGCCATGTGTGCATTGCTTCTGATGGCTTTTGTAATGGAAACAAAAAGCCTCCTTTTTACCATACTCACCACGTTTATATATGCACAACCTAGGCATTCGTTAATGTATTTTTTTTATAAATCTTGTCATACCTTTAAACCAAAATTGACTTTTAATTATATTTTCGCATTTCTGTAACCCTATGTGAGCCTATGTGGTATTTTCGCAATAGATGAAATTTAGCATACTTTGGATTAACAAGTTTATTTTTACCATCAGCCGTTTTACGATATAAACGTTCATTTTCGATGACATGAGTATTTTTTAATTCTCTATCCGGATTGGGTTGTTTTAACTTGTCTTTAACCCTACGTTAGTCGCGCGGTCTACGACTGTAGACCACGCCTATTTGAACGACGCTATTTTTGGGAAATAAGTCATTTCGCATGCGCGCCGCTGAATACCTGTGGTCGACACTCAAGTCTATACGTTCAGTAGACAAGTCGCAGTGAAATAGTTAGCTGGTAATTCTTACGCACGTCTGAATACGATTGGTCTACGATTGTAGACCCCGCGCGTAACAGTGCGACGTTATTCGTCAAACACGCAGTTGAATTGTTTAAATAACAATTTGTTATAAATAAGGTAAGAGATATTCTTTCATTTACTACTTAGAATTATATTTTTATTTGTCAAAAATAGATTTTAGTTTGTATATTTACAAGTGTATGTATTATTTTGGCAAAATAATGGTATAGTTATAATTTGTTTCAGAAAAAAAATGTCTGATTCTAAGAGAAGGTGTGTAGAAAGAAGTAGGGATCCAGATGTTTGGCTTAGATGGTATGAAGAGTTATCAAGTGGGGAGGAGAGTCCATTAGATGAAAATGAGGAAGATGAAGAAGAGAAAAATGAAAATATAGTGGAAAGAAGTGATCATTAGACGGACTCAGAAATAGAATTCTCATCAGATGTAAATGAAAGTCTATCAGAGAGCGACGGTGAACAAACTGATAATGGCGGTAGCAAATTTTACATAGGGAAGGATAAAACGACTAAGTGGAGGAAAGAATGTGGTAATGTACAAGTGAGAACGCGTGCTCATAATATTATCACACATTTACCTGGATCTAAAGGCTGGATCTAAAGGTGATGCCCGCAATGCAATCCTTGCAATTGACTGCATAAAACTTTTTGTGTCCGACGCCATTATACGAATTCTAGTTTGTTCAACAAATATATACATTGAGAACATAAAATATAGATTTGACAGGGATCGAGACGCTAGATTAACTAACGAAACAGAGATAAGAGCTTTGATAGGGATTTTGTTTTTGATAGGAACACTGATAAGTTCAAGAAAAAATGCTCGTAAAATATGGGATAATTCTAAGGGCAATGGAGTTGAATCCTGTTATCTCGCGATGAGCGAAAAACGATTTCGATTTCTCCTCCGTTGTTTGAGATTCGACGATATTACAACGAGAGCTGAAAGAAGAGAACTGGGCAAATTAGCACCCATTAGGAATGTTTTCGAAATTTTCTTGGCTAATTTTCAAAACAATTTCATTCCTAGTGGATACTTGACTGTTGACGAACAATTGTTGGCCTTTAGAGGGCGCTGCTCATTCAAGCAGTATATACCCAATAAACCAGCGAAGTACGGAGTAAAGATGTTCGCTCTGGTTGATGCTAAAACTTTGTACACTTTCAATCTCGAACCATACGTTGGTACTCAACCTGCTGGCCCGTATAAGTTGAACAATTCTGCCGAAGATATTGTATTACGATTAGTTCAACTAATAGAGGGAACTAATCGCAATCTTACCGGAGATAATTGGTTCAGCAGCATTCCGTTGACAAGAAAATTGCTACAGCAAAAAAAATTAACATACATTGGTACAATGCGGAGGAATAAGCGTGAGATCCCTGTGGAGTTCTTACCTAATAAACAAAGAGAAGAGAAAACATATTTCTTTGGTTTTCAAAAAGATATTACGATGGTATCCTGCTGCCCAAAGAAAAATAAATCCGTTATTTTGGTGTCCTCCATGCATCATGATAATGCCATTGATCCGGAAACAGGGGATGCAAAAAAACCAGATATAATAACTAGATACAATAAAACTAAAATTGGTGTTGATTTGGTGGATCAATTATGTGTGAATTATAGTGTCGCAAGAAACACATGCCGTTGGACTATGGTAATATTCTTCGATCTATTGAATATATCGGGCATAAACGTCGTTTGCGTGTATAAAGCAAATCATCCCTTAGAAAACAAAGTCCTTAGAAGTGCATTTATTGAGGAATTTGCTTGGGAATTGATCAAGCCGCAGATAGAGGCGAGGTCAATTATCACCTCTTTACCGGTAGAATTAAGAAGACGAGCACGTGCTCTTCTTGGTCTTGAAGCTATTGTAGCCCCTCTTCCTCTACCGCCAAAACCAGAAAACTACGTTGGTCGTTGTCATGTTTGTCCTCGAAGAGAAAAGCTTGCGTGAAATGCAAACGTTATGCATGCAAACAACACATGGCAGACATATGCATTCACTGTTTGCCCGACTGAAAATATTCTTACTTTGTCCTTACTTTTCTAATGTCAAAGAGCTTTTTTTTGTTAATAGTATTTTAATGTAAGTTGCTATCTGCTAATATCAGAAAATTACTTTTGGTTGAATTTTAGCGCGTTAAGATTTTGTGTTGTTGTTCAAAGCTAACCAGAAGCTAATAAAGGGATAAAAAAACATATTTTTGTTTTTTTTCCTCAAGTAACTAAAAATGTAAATGCTTTTAAAAATTTGATTTACTTTGAACTATATATCTATGAATACATGTATTTTCAACATTGTTTTGAAATCATGTGACCTAAGGTGTCACATAATGACATTAGAAAATGGTCTACATATGTAGACCACGCGATTAAACTCATTACAAAATACTACGCGCCTAACGTAGGGTTAATTAACCATGTTTCATCATCTTGAATTTGTACACAACTTAACCAGTCCTCAGTTGCAATGTGTGCTACATTCACTGTAGGAATATTTCTACTGAGAGCATCAACATGAAGCATTTTACTTCCAGGTCTGTGCTCTACCTCGAAATCAAAATCTTGAATTGTTAGGCTCGTTACACACATGCACGGTGACCGTCCAAACGGCGCCGTTTATACGGAGCCGGTCTATTCTGTTGACTTTTCACACATAAACGGTTAGTACCTATTAGCAAATGGATCGTAGACGTGTTATCGCAATGATGATATTATATAGACGCTTAAAAAGAAAAAAAGAAATAGATATAAGTGGGTTCATCCTATAAATATGCAAAGAAAAACGTTTGGAGCATTTTATGTACTTTTCGGGCAGCTTAGAGAAGACGATAAAAAGTTCTATAACTATTTCAGGATGTCAGTATTAAGTTTTGACGAACTACATCAACGACTAAAAACATCCCTTCAAAAGAAAGATACTTTTATGTAAGAGTGCATACAACCTATGGAAATGCTGGCTGTCACAATTATTAGGTAAGTAAAACAAGAACTTAAAATTTTAGAAGTTATATGTTTATTAAAGCCATACTTAAGATATTTATTTATATAAACAGACCATGCAATCTAAATAGTAACCTATCTCTTATTAAATGGTATAAAAATATTTTAAGTAGAAAAATCAAATGACTCTTGAGATAATTGACTCTCCACAGAATATGGTGAAATAACTTCGCCAATGGATTCGTAAAACTGACGGACTGAATGTGCATTTGAAGTTGCAGGAACAGGTTGCAATGTTTCAACTTGAGTGTTTGGCATAGTGCTGAATGCTTGCTGGCTTTTCGGCAATGCTGAACTTTTGGTTTGATGGGAAAGAGTTTGGATAGGAATGTTTTGGTAGGAATGACTATGTTGGGATAGGAATGAACCATGTTTGGATAGAGATGACTTGTAGTTGTAGTTATTGGTTGCTGACTGGAATTAACTTGAGGATGAGTAATGTGTTGACGAGATGGAATCATTTTCTTTCGTTGTTTGATAGATGTTATCGTCTGCAATACTGTGGTTTGAAATTCCAATATTTCCTCTTCGTCTAAAGAGCTTAATGAGGGAATTATGCCTTTAAAAAAACACAAATGGCGGTCGGGTGTTTCTTTCAGGGCTTTCATCATTTCTAATTCAACGGAATCCATTTTGTGTTTTTTCGGTGGTTCTGTCTTAGCAACTTTGTTGTTTAATGCATTATCTTCAGGCATATTAGTTTCCAGTGTTTCTTCTTCCTCATCTGATTTATCTGATTGGCTAGTATTTGATTCTAAACTATTTTCGGTTTTACGATCAGTCAGTATTTTATTTAGAAATTTCAACTGGTCATTATAAATGTACGCTTTTATAGTTGTTGCTCCAGCCCCTGACCTTGAAGCGCTCTTTTGTTTTTTCATAGATTTTTTGAACGTATCCCTAACATTAGTCCATTTCTTCATGACTTTTTTACCTGCAAAGAAATAAAAAAATATTAATGATTCATTTTATTATAGAAAATATTATTATCATAATTATTATCATTATTATTATTATATTATTGTTATAGTTATTATTTTCTATTTTGTTTTATTTTCAGATATTTAGCAAGCGGATGTACTTTCACAGATCTACATTACAGCTATCGACTCGGAATATCTACAATTAGCAATATAGTCAAAAGAGTATGTGAATGTATTTGGTCTGTTTTGCAAGCAGAATGTATACCCAAACCTACTAAAGAGAACTGGCAGATAATTGCTTCAAAATTTGAAAACAGGGCCAATTTTCCTCACTGCATTGGGTCAGTCGATGGGAAACACATTCGAATAATTAACCCACTTGGCTCAATGTATTTTAATTACAAAGGATATTCTTCTATTGTTCTTATGGCAGTTGCAGACTCTGATTATCGGTTTACCTATGTTGACATTGGAGCTTATGGCAAAGATTGTGATTCTAACATTTTCAAGGAATCGTTATTATGGATATCAATTAAAAATTGAAACATACAACATTACCCGAAGAAGAATGTCTTCGAGGAGCAACGAATCCTAAAGTTCCCTATTTTCTTGTGGGTGATGAAGTATTTGCTTTACACAAACACCTACTTCGACCATATGGTGGTCATAACTTGACAGTCAAAAAGAAGATTTTCAATTACCGTCTTTCGAGAGCTCGACGATATATAGAATGCACGTTTGGAATATTAAGCAACAAATGGAGAATTTATTTATTATTTATCAGCCAACAATGTCAGAAATATTTTAGCTGATTACTTTTTAACTGACACAGGTTCTGTAAAATGGCAACTTTCTAAAATTTGATAGTATTTTATATTAAACTCTGTACTTACCAAAGCTGTTTTTTCTGTGGCCTCTAACTCTTCAAAATCCGGTCTTAATTCTAAAAATATTTCCTTCCAGGCATTTCTTGTTTCGTTTCTGTCTTTATAAACATCTCTTGTTTTGTCCCAGATTACTGGTCTTGCTACTACTAATGATATAAGAATATCTATGTCCACATCCTGTACTACATCCGCACTTTCCATTTTACGCTACACGTTGAAGTGCTCACAAAAAACTATTCAAAAGATCAATGTGAAAAGACGAGAAAATTAAATCAGACTACCGTGAATACGGCATGTGTGAAATCTTCTTTGTACTTCAATACGCGACTGAAACATTCGCGCCGTTTAAACGGTAACGGAGGCCGTGCAAATACAGTGGGAAGCCACGGCGACATCACGGCAAAACATTACCGTATACACGGTCGCGGTGCGTGTGAAACTAATGATAATACTCTGTATCCCTTTGCAGTTTATACGGTGCCGTTTGGACGGTCACCGTGCATGTGTGTAACAAGCTTTAGTGCCTTTTCAGACACACACGGTTTCCGTTTATACGGCGACCGCATACACGGATGTAATCGCTTCACACCTACAACGGTTTTCGTCCGGTTACCCATTGTGACATCAATAGCAGTGTCGGGCTGGTGTTCATATTGGCAGTATGGATAGAAAAAAAACTATAGCTTTATTGTTTTTGTACAGACGTCGCTTGCGTCGTAGTAGAAAAACATGGGAAAGAATATATTGGATTCATCCATATGTTGCCAAAAGAAGGGAATTAGGTGATTTTTATACGAAGTTTATGGATCTCCGAGAATATGAGGATAAGTTCTTCATCTACTTTCGAATGTCAATTAAATCATTCGATGAATTACATGAACGATAAAACCATCATTACAAAAAAAGAACACGGCCATGAGGGATTGTATTGAGCCTATACAAATGTTGTGCGTCACGCTTAGGTGAGTAAACAAAGTTAAATATATATTTTGTAAATTCTGTTTAATTACATGTAGTAACAAACTGAAAAATATTAACTCATTTCAAATAACAGTTTTAATAATAACGGTATAATCGACAACTATGTGAAATCTAAATCCGCGTACACAGAATCCTGTGTAGAAGCACTATCAACTGAAGATGGAGTTTCCGCTGTGGGGTTGTATTGTTCAAAATATTCACGTGCGTTTGCCTCATGGGGATAATTTGTTGTAGTATATGCGGGCATGTTTCTGTTAATACAGATTCCTGAAGGAGTCGCAGGTGGTTCTTTTGGCAATGACAAAGTAGAACGGTGAACATGTTCTGTACTATTTTGTCGATTAATATAGTTGTCATATACAGAAGTTCCGGCACATGGAAGTGGCTGGTTTGATTGAAACCGCCTCTGCTTGATATTGATTGATTAATTAATCGTAAAACGACAGTCTGAAATTGTAAAGTTTCATCGTCTGTGAAGGTATATAACGATGGGACGATACCTTTAAAAATGAAATATGACGATCTTCTGGCTGTTCTAAAGCTTTAATCATCCTGAGTTCAACGTCGTCTATTTTTCTTTTTCGAGAGCCAAGTTGCTTTCGAGGAGGTGCTTTAAGCTGGGTATTATTATTTTCAGTCTCAGTTTCTGAAACATCGGCGTCGGAAGTTGCTTGGACGGGATTGGCACATAAATTATCTTCAGTTGATCTATGCGTAAATATTTTGGTTAGAAACTTCAGTTGTTCAGCATAAATGTATTTGCTTAAAGTTGCGGCACCAGAACCAGACTTTTTGAACGATTTTTCTTTCTTCAAAAACTTGTTAAATGCATCCCGAATGTTGACCCACCTCTTTACAACCTCTTTACCTGTAAATACAAAAATAAATAATAGAAACTTTCTCTTTCTAGGTATTTGGCGAGTGGATGTACATTTACTGACTTGCACCTTCAGTATAACCTTGGCATTTCAACCATCAGCGGTATTGTTAAAGACGTTTGTTCTACTATATGCTGTTTAATGTTGGGAGAGTGCATACCTCCACCTACTAAAGATAAATGGGAATCTATTTCAACAGAATTCGAAACACGAGCCAATTTTCCTCATTGTATAGGGACAGTCGATGGAAAACATATTAGAATCAGTAATCCCTTAGGTTCCATGTATTATAACTACAAAGGTTGTTCGTCTGTAGTTTTAATGGCTGTTGCTGACGCAAATTATCGCTTTGTGTATGTAGACATTGGGAGTTACGGAAAAGATTGCGCCTCATCGATATTTAAAAGATCATCTCTTTGGACATCAATTGAAGCCTTCCATCGAATAACGGTTTATGTTACATTTTTTGCATGTTGAGATTTTCATGCAAAAACGGTCTATGTAAACATACGCATCGTTTAAAGTAATAAAACAAAAATACATATGCTGCTATCTATAAAATGTATGCAATACTACTTTCTTTAGCGTGGAATAACAGTTTATGTGGCCACGTGCAACCAAATTGTTTTACTAATCATAATAATGTCGACTGTACATATCACGTCGTCGTTCTGCAAAACGTTAAATAAAAGCAGAAAAAGAAAAATAAATGTGAATGAGTGGAAATGTAATAAAAACAAGAATTTAAGGAATAGTGGAAGTGAAAATATAGACCGGCAAGGACGAATTAAACCCAGGAAAGCTACATCTCGAGAGGTAAGTAGAAAAAGGGTATATGTTATTTATAATCTAACCTGTAAATTAAGTGTGAGTTCTACAGCTTTTATTTGGTATCATCTGGTTAACAAATCACATAGAATTTTAATTTCTATTGTTATTGTTAAACTTTTTAAATCGTTCTTTCTTTTCAGGCTAGAATCTGCAAGCCTGAGACAAGCAAAAAGGGTGGCTGTACCAGTATAACTATTGAAGATAAGGAAATGCTATTTAATTCTTTCTATGGTATGGATTATAATGACCAAAGTTCCTATTTAGTAAAGTGTATTGCTATGGGTGCCCCGAAGAGACGTCGAGCTGGAAAAACCGATGCAACTTCTAAAAAGTTAGCTGCGTTTACATACTCAGTAATGGTAAAACGGAGTGGCAAGTATGTATCAATGCTTATGTGTAAAACGAACTTTTGTGATATTTTTCAAATAAATACCAAGAGAACTCAAATACTACAGTCTAAAATGAAAGATGGTGTTACCATTCCCACTGATCTACGAGGTAAACATGACAATCGACCAAATCGTATAAAGCAAGATATTAAAGATGCTATCCGCATGCATATAAATAGCTTTCCCAAACATGAATCTCATTTACATCCGGAGCTAACATTGAAAAAAATGTTTTCACTTTTTGAAGAACATTTTCCAAACCTCCATGTTAAATTTCGCACTTACCGTGATGTTTTTTCCGAATATAACTTCAAATTTGGCGTTCCGAGGAGTGACACATGTAGATATTGCGACAAGTTATATATGCAGTTACAATGTGCAGAAACTGAAGAATCTTGGATTAAAATACAACAGGATAGTGAGCTGCACCATAGGAAGGCAGAAGCTGGGTATCGTTTCCTAAAGGAAGACATCGAATCAAGTAAAGTGTCCACCACTAAGTATGTTTTATGCATTGATATGCAGCAGGTTTTATTCTGCCCTACCCTGACACTCTCTTCAGTATTTTAACAGCGGCAGTATTTCTGCTATAACTTCTGTATTCACAATGGCGGATTAAATAATGCCAGAATGAATTTATGGCACGAATCTATCGCTGGACGAGGTTCTGCTGAAATAGTATCGGCATTATTAGCTTATATAGAAGATCACTTTGATATTTTGAAACCGGGAGAAGAACGCCATCTGATAATATGGTCTGATAGATGTGTCGGCCAGAATAACAACTGGAAAGTGGTAAACTTGTGTCACTATTTAGTACAGTGCCATTATTTTACCATTGTTGAACAGAAATTTCTTTGCTCAGGACACAGTGACCGTGTGACAGAAATTTCGCACTTATTGAACAAAGAAAGAAGGTATGTAAAGTCTATGTTCCTGATATGTGGAGAGAAGTTATAGAAAGTGCCAGTCATAAAAATGCTTTTGAAGTCAAACTGCTCCAGCAAAATGATTTTAAAGATTTCGCGCCAATCGAAAAAAATGTTAAGAAAAATCCTAATTTAAAGATTACTCAATATATGTGGTTTAGATATAGTGCAGATGATCCTTCTAATGCAAACGTGCGTCCAAGCCATAATACGTTTGCTCCTTGGACTTCATTCAACATATTTACAAAAAAAAAGATGCAAGCTCCTGGACGCTCAAATCTTCCTCTACTTTATAATGAACCACTGAAAATAACCTTTGAGAAAAAGCAAAATTTGATGGACATGTCCGACTATATTCCTTTGAAGTACATTAACTTTTACGAGAGTCTTACTTGTAAGGGAAAGAAGAATTGAGCCCATATTTTTATGTATATTACGTTAAAAACTTAACTGTATTAACATTAAATGGGTACTCGGTAATAAGGGTTTATGTTACATTTTACATAAACCCTTATTCCAGGGACTCAGAATATATTATATAAAATATGTAGTATTAGTTATCTTTAGCTACACTCTTTAATGGCTAATGTCTTAGAATTGTTATATTAGTTTGTTATCACCATTTCTGTTATGTTTATTATTAAAAACCCCATAGCAAATCGTTTTTGTTAATTTTCTCAATATAGCCGAATGTAACATAGACCCTTATTCGAGGGAAGGGTTCAATTATTAATAATGATCACGAAATACCTATTGAAAAAACTGTTACTGGAATAGACAATTGCAAATTACCTTATTATTTCGTTGGAGACGAAGCATTTGCCCTCCACCAGCATTTACTTCGTCCATTTGGGGGAACTCAACTTACAATAAAAAAAAGAATTTTTAATTATCGTCTAAGTAGGGCTCGGAGGTATGTGGAATGCACATTTGGACTTTTAAGTAACAA